ATGATATTCTCTTCTACATTCTTATAACATTTGAGTAATACATTTTTAGCTATTTTTAATTCATATCTAGTTTTGGGACTGGGTTTCTTTGATCAAGCCTGTAGATCCAAACTGTATAAGGTATTTTTTATTCTTTCAAAATAACTTCATTAAATAGAAAGAAAGGGAGAGAGGACGGAGGGAAGGAGGAAGGAGAAAAGGAAGGAAGGAACAAGAAAGGAGGGAAGGAAGGAAGGAAGGAAGGAAGGAAGGAAGGAAGGAAGGAAGGAAGGAAGGGAGAATATGTTTTTGTGTGCTATGGCATCATGTCCTTTGGCAATATCACCAAGAACACTGCTGTGCCATTAGCAATTAGAAACCTACACACTCCTCAGATTATTTGAGAAAAAATTTTTTTAAAATATGTTTTATTGACTTTTTTACAGAGAGAAAGGGAGAGGGATAGAGAGTTAGAAACATCGATGAGAGAGAAACATCGATCAGCTGCCTCCTGCACACTCCCTACTGGGAATGTGCCTGCAACCAAGGTACATGCCCTTGGCCGTAATCAAACCTGGGACCCTTTAGTCTGCAGGCCAACGCTCTATCCACTGAGCCAAACCGGCCAGGGCATTTGAGAAAATTTAAAGCAGTTCTACTCATTAACATCTTCTTGTCATTCATAATAAACATTAGATATCCCCAATCACATTTTGCTTGCCACAGGCCCAGACAAAGATGCATTAAACAATTCCACTATGACATAAGGTAAAATAAGGTCATGCTTTCATGGGAGCCATGTATGTGTTTATTCATGAATTATTTCACCAGAGTTAATTGTGGTTTTTTGTTTGTTTGTTTTGTTTTGCGGGGGGATGGGGACTGATACTGTTGAGAATTATACAATTTAAATGCTTTCTATGAATTCTGGCTTTAGGTTTCCTTTGCTTGGAATTGAAATAATCAATTTCATTTTCCTTCAATATATTATACTCCTTGAAAGCCAGAGGCCCTCAAAGAATACTAATGACTTCCTGTTCCAATTAACTGCTTTAATTTTTTTAAAAAAATTTCTTCTTTACTCTTAAATATACCAATACTCTCTACATTTTATTTGCTGATCATGTGTTCTGTGTTTCAGATGATGCCAACAAGCTTTTTGGGGGCTTTTTTTTTTTCTCAGTTAACAAAACAAAACATAGAGGAAAATGTTGCATCAATAAATAAAAATGTTTACAAACAGCAAATGTGGAAAGAGATGCATTTCTTAGACTCTATTTCAGGGTATCTGCCTTTTTGCTTTAGTAAATTTAGACCCAAAGATAATGAAGGCTTAACATTACAGTTTTCAAATAATATATACATTTTATAACGTTTAAAGCAATACAAGAAATCTCAAAGAGAAAGAAAAGTTAATTTTAATAAGAGAAAAATAATAAGTATCAAATGAAAATTTGTAATATTTAAATATCAAATATCTTTACTATGTGATCCATATATAGATAAACACTAAGACTCCAGGGGGAAAATGAATAATGAACACCAAAAGATAATCTCCCAAAAAGGAAATAAAAATGGTTAATGAACATATGAAAAAGCCCAACTCAGTAAAAATAAGAAAGGCAATTTAAAATATATTTTCTTCTCCTATCAGATTAACGAAAGTGAGAACAGATAATATTCAAGGTTAGCCAGAGTGCAGTGAAATAGACTCTGCTGTACAGTGGTGGGAGGAAAATTCAGTAAAATAATTAGGGATAGGTAATTCTCAGTTATATATTAAGAGCCTTAAAATTATTCACATTATTTCATTATACCTAGGAAATTCTTCCTAAGGAATTAAATTGCAAGTAAAGATGAGGAATTTTTGTGGAGAAGATAGGGAATTGTTTATAATAATGACATGAAAATAGCATAATATATATAAAAACAGCATAATGTATTACGTTATGTAGTATAACATATAACATTAGTGTAATTGCTAGAATGAACAATGAATTGGTCATATAAGTTTCAAATTCTTTGATAAGATGTTAAACCCAGGTCCTTCACTGATCAAAATTTTTGGCATCTATGATGCCATTGAAATGTCTTTTAATTGTAGTAGTTTTTTTTCATATTAAGGGAAATTGAAAAATCTTAATTCCATTTTTATGGCAAATTATCTATTTTACTGATTGCACTTTTGACTTTCAACATGGTATCACAGCCACCAGATTCCATGAATTCAATTATACAGAAATGGTTTGTTATACAGAAATTACACCAAAATAGGTAACTAGAACAGAAATTGGTGCTAAAACTTGAGTGGTACTGTAACACAAACCCAAAACACTCAGCATTAGTTTGGAGACAAGAAGGCAGCTGGAGGCCAGAGGGCAGCAAGGAGACTATAGGTGGAGACAGAAACAACGTAAGGAAGCTGTTTCAGAGGGCCGGAGACAAGGGGACTCATGAAGACAATTGTCAGAACAATTAGCCTGTCCAGAGCCTGCAGTAACTGGGAAGACAGAGAACATACCTATAACCTTGTGGGCCAGGCTAAGGGGGTTTCAAGCAAAGAATTGACAGTGTTACCTGTCACCTTTTAAACACATATAACATGATATTTAAGAGAAAAATGAGCAAAAAAAGAACAATTCATTTTTCAAGTATAATTTACAGGATATTTTTCCAACTCAGGACTTGCTGATTTAGAAAATAAAAGTTTCACATTTACAGTATCTCCAGCTGTCAAGAGATTTTCCAAGTAAGACAATGTCTCAAGGAAAAGATCAAATTCAAAATGCTGTCTGCTAGTCAAGATCAAACTAAAGATGTAGCTCCAAGACACCTTGTTAAGACCTCAGAAAGATTTCAGACTTTCTGAGCTACACAGAAGTTCTAACAATCTTAAAGATGTCCCATGGCATCCTTTTTTACCTTTCATGCTAGAGAGAGCAGCCCGTCTTGAAAAGATTTGTGGGTATGTATTTTACCTGCAGGGATGGGATTATAATTTGATACACAGAAATCACGTACCATATTTTAGAGTTGCAGCAGCTTGGACTAAAAGGGCCAGAAATAGTTCAACTAACAGCTTGGAACACCTTACTCTATTTTAAAGTGCCTGCCAGCCTATTGTTAATCTATACAGTTTAGTATTATTTTCAAATAATAATAACAACAAAGAGAACACTCTTATAGCTAACATTTATTGACAAATTTTTAAACACCAAGTTTTGTGCTAAGCACATTTTATAGAATATCTCATTTATTCCTCAAAACAAACCTCCGAGTGTTTCAGCTGTACAAACATTTGGATCCACACCTAGATTTTTGTCCCAAGAACCTCATGGAAATGGAGAAGACATATCTATATGTATAACGATCAGAGCGGCATCATTTGTAAGAATAAAATCATGGAGAAACCTCAAAGTCTTTTATTAATAAAAGTTAAGAATCTTTTATATAATTGCTTATAATATATAAACTAATTAAAGCATATGAATTAATATAATTATTGCTTTCATTTAAAAGATAGGGACACTAAGAATCAGTGAGGTTATGCTCTCTACGGTCACACAAAGTTTAGCTCAGCCGGTTAGAGCATCATCCCAATAGGCCAAGTTTGCAGGGTTGATCCCCGGTCAGGGCACATACAAGAATCAGCCAATGAGTGCATACGTAAGGAGAACAATAAATCAAGGTCTCTCTCTCTCTCTCTGTCTCTCTCTCTGTCTCTCTCTCTGTCTCTCTCTCTCTCTCTCTCTCTCTCTCTCTCTCTCTCTCCTTTCTTCTCTGCTCTAAACTCAATAAGCAAAAATATTAAAGTCACACAGAGTTTGGCAGATGCAAGATTTCAACCCAGGTATTATGACTTCACTCCCAAACCCTGTAAGAGTGTGCCTATATTGGATCAAAGTACAATTTATATTTTTTAAAAAATGAACCATACTATTAATATCCTGTGCAATGAAAAACTTCACTCTGCAAGAGAACACATCTGTCTTTTTATGATATTTACATGGGCACACAGCCTTAGATATAACATGCACTCAATTTCTGGGTGTGCACTTTGAAAAGACTGTGAACTCTTGGCTCATCTTTAACCAGACAGTGAATGTCTGCGCCCCAGTTGCTATCATATTGCCTATTTCTGAACCAAGGAGCATTATCTGGCTTCCCGGTGACAGAGAGAACAGGTCATAGGAGGCACCTTTTATGTGAGGGAGGGCTTCCTGAAACCCAGACAACCTGCCGGCTTGTGCTGAATAAGGCAGGGCTTCACCTGTGCTATCTTCTACGTCTACTTTTACCGCAAACTCACTTATAATTTTAAATAAATGCCTATAGACTTTTCCTTTGTTAAAATAGAAGACAGAGGGGAAAAAATGATGAGACAGAAAAAAAGACATTAATGAAGAGCTATAGCTGAGATCTGAGGCACATACAAAAGTAAAAAAATCCTAAGTTATGGTTCCCATAGCAACTGCAACACAGTTGGATTTCACTTTTATGTTAAGTAAGCTTAACTTGAGTGGGAATGCAAAATACTTTCTCTGAGCCAAAAAGGAAATCATAGAGAACACAGAGGTATTGGTCCAGACTCTTTTGGCTTTCAAACATGTCAATTTTTAACCCTAATATGTATTAATATGTTCACACTGAAACTATAAATTCATTTGTATTAATTTAAACTATCTTTGTTTAGTTTTAAAATATGATTATTTAAAATGGGAACATTCCCATTAAATCTATTAAGTCAGAGGCTAAGACTTTATGCTTTATAAGCATAGGGGCATAATTCTGCTTTTAATTACAAAAGAAAATTTGATGTAAGTACACTTTATGAAAACAATTGGATTACATTCACTGCCATATGCTTTAAACTTGACATTTTCAGCTATTTTAGATGCCAGCTGAAACTATGAAAACAAACATATTTACTTTAAGGAGAGGTTATGCAGATAAAATTTTAAGACATTTTTATATATTTCTCTATTTCGGTAACATTTGAAAAAGGTTGGAAGGGTACTTACTCCTTTTATGTAACGAGGTCTATATTGAATAGTTCCAAATAAACCAAGAATGACGATAATAATATGTACAAAATTTGCCAGGATAGGTGCCCACTGATATCCAAGGAAGTCAAATATTTGCCTCTCCAGCACACAAACCTAGAATAACAAAACAGGATATACAGGTGAGCACCCTGATGAAAGAAAGCATTGGATCTCACTGACACCATGATTAGCAATTATAACTGCGGTACCCATATCTGGCATTAGTCTTTAACAGTGAGAATGACATTTTCAGGTCTATTTCAAATGAAAACTACGGGAGCTGTGGATCCATAGACACGAACAATCCTCTCAGTGTTGAGTGTGTAGAGGCTTCCAGCAGTATTCACAGGATGTCATCTGTGCAGTCATAGGATAAATTACGTATATTGCCATAGTCACTGTCAAGCACTTGAGCTCAACAACCAGGAAGTTCTTCAGGGAGACCACAGGAAGGGTTTGTTGTTAGTATCTGCTCAAGGTCCTTATATAAGGGAATAGGACAAAAGGGGCTGATATAGAAGAAAAAGAACTATGGAGTAAGTCAAGAGGCCTGAATTTTACACGCAGATCTGCCACTAAGCAATTGCAGTGCCCCCAGTAAGTCATTTCCCTTCTCTAGGGGTCTGATTCCTCATCTGCAAAATGCAGGACTCCAACTAATATCTAGGGTCCTTCTAACCCTAAGAGTATTGCATTGTAAATCAAACATGGCTTTTTGTCATACCCCGTTAGCTACAGTAACCAGGTAAAAGGAGGGCTCTAAAAGAAAATTAAATAATGGAATTAATTTTCTATTCCAATGGAAACAAAAAAATAAAAATAAAGCATTACTGTTATAAAAAAGCAAGGGACTGAAGTCATTTCAAATTCTCCTACATTCACCTGTGCTTATAGTTTTACAATGAAGACACATGTAGATACGCAGTCAGGGGGAAAGCAAACCAATCAACTAAGCAACCAAAAAAAACACAAATAAATAAAACTAAGATTGGTTCTAGTCCAGAAGTGGCATTTTATACTGAAAAGTGAAACCTGGATCGCTGGCAAGTCTCTCTTCAGATCTACTGAAGCAAGGGGGAAGGGGTGTCTTAAACCTAGCTTTATTCTTCCTGCCTGCCCCAGGTGGAATGACAATAAACTGTCTATTTGAATTAAAACACTGTGAAAGGACCTGATGTTTCAAACAAAGATTCAACAAATTTTTTTTTAACTCAGGCTATAAAGGAAAATTATTTGTAAAACCCCCGTTACCAACATCACGATGGTTTAAACTTAATTCTTGACAGAAGGACATCCTAACTCTTGAACTGTTAAATAAAATATGTGTAGCTCAGTTTAAAGACCACTTGAATGATCGTCAGTCCCACTGAATTTCTTTAGCTGAGCAGCACATTTTTCCATCAGGCAGTGAAAGAGAAAAGAAACCCACGACAACTGTTAGCACAGCACCTGTTTTCCCTAAGGCACACTGGGTACCATTGTCATGGTGGCAACGTAAGAGCCCTGCCTAGTCAAATCTTCATTTTCACTTAGTCAATGGTGAAATTCACTTGGCAATGCTTACAAAAACAGCAGCTAAGCCTGTTCTAGCCCGCATAATATAAATTCACAAATGCCAACAGAGTCCCAACAGTGGAAAGTAATGTTCTCACTGATTAATAACCAGACTGGCATGGAAGTTGCCGACTCACAGCCTTGAACTGCCTTCTGATGAAACAGTCCTTCAACTGTGACCATGCAGTTAATACTTCCAAAAAACGAGACCCACTGTGATGTTAGGTCGTGTTACATGTGTCTTGTTGGAATACATCAATGGGATAAAAAGTAGGTGGTGTTTCTCAGAGCACCATTGCTAATCATCTGTGTAAAAGCCCATTCTAACAGAGCTTTCTCTTATCCATATCTTATGAATAAATAGTGAGTAGGGATGTAAAACAGCAGCAAGAAGAATCTAAACTATAAATTTTGAGCATCATAACTGTGGGGACACAACAGGGAAAAAGTAGAGAGGATGAAGCACATCAGTCAAACAGCGGGTAATCCCCATTAATGCTTGAATTATGGAAGAAAATAGCACTACCATCATTAATTATAAAGAATATATAGATGATAATATACTTCCTATCACTGCAAAGCTAAAATAAAGTCCCATCAACATTTATCAGCCTTTTTTCATGACAGAACTAATAGTGTCATCAAATATTATTTACAAGGTTATGCAGACTGAATAAGTTAATGTGCAATTCTTCACTTATAATATTTCTGCTTTTTCCTCTTTTTTTGATTGGCCCTATTAGCCATCATAAATAGCTTTATCATGGATTGTGTAATTTAGAGCTAGGACTGAAAAAATGGAAGATTCGCTGAAAAAAAAATCAGTGAGTATCATAGTAATGACTTAGAGAAGTAGTTATAGTTTTTTCCAAGAATCCCTTCCAAGAGGATGTGCATCAATTATAAAATTACTGGGAGGGGTGTGGGATTGGGGGAAAGAGAAAACATATTTGTTAAACTACATTTGTGCTGGGCATTCACACTATTCCAAGTCATGCGTTGTCTCATAGATTCTGCACAAAAAACGGGAGATAACTATTATTGTCCTATTTTTCAGAGTAAGAAATCTAAGAGATGGTGTGGCTAAGTGATCCGCTGAAGTCTGAGAAGTGGTAAGTGTTAGAACAGAAATGTAGGTCTCTGTGCATGGCCCCTGTGTCTGTCCCTACTGTGTGAACTCCAGGCACACCTAGTTCCAAAACAAAACACTTTCACAGTTTATGTTGCTGACCTCTGCTTGATACAGGACACACTACATTTTTACCTTCTTTATTTAGTCCAGAGAATGTCTGATCATACTTGTCAGATCATGACATTAGACCATCATGGGTCAAGACAAACCTCCTTTTGGTTTTGCTCATTTTATTTTCTTCTCTGCCTCTTTCAACCCATGTTCTCAGTCTTATCCCCCTTTCTCTCATTGGACCTTTTGTGTGTGTGTACCTTTTCTGTGTGTGTATATGTGTGTGTGTGTGTGTGTGTGTGTGTGTGTGTGTGTGTATATATATATGCATATATATATATATATAAATTTTATGTTCTTTCAATCACCTGACCTACAAATATATGTAGTAGCACATGCCTTGGAAAACATATACTGCTGTTGAGTATGTGATTTTCATATAAAAAGTTTTATGGAATAAGTTTCTTTCATGCTTGTCTATTTTATTCTCTATAAATTATGGGGTGTTTTGTGTGTTTGGTTTCTGAACCCTAACCTATTAGAAATGCATTAGAGGTCCGATGCACGAAATTCATGCAAGAGTAGGCCTTTCATCCCCCCACTGCTGGCACCGGCTTCCCTCTGGCACCCAGGACCCGGGCTTCTCTCTGGCCGCCATCAGGCACCCGGGACCCAGGCTTCCCTTGCAGTCCTGGCTTTTTCCAGAAGGTCATCTGGAAGGATGTCCAGAAGGATGTCTGATCTAATTAGCATACTATGTTTTTATTATTATAACTTGGTGCTTTCCACAAAGAATTCTGATCCTTCCATCACTATCATTGAGGAGTTTTTTTTTTACTTTTTTAATATAAATAGGGCTGATCTTTATCAATTATTTCTGCATCTGTGGAGAGATATACTTTATACTCTTCTTTTAAATCATTAATGTGACTGACTATATTATCCATTTTTGTGATGTTCAGATATGACTTTTGGCGATGTTTTATAAGTACTGAGCAACACAAAGCATATCTAAGGTACTAGTGAGTGTGGGATTGGGAATACGTGATGAGATGAATCAGACACTTTTTATGTTATCTGGCAGAATCAGCCTTATATTATGAGATATGCTAATATCTGAAATGGTTCTTAGGGCAGAAATTCTCAAAACTCTCAAGAGGGCCCAGGTGTAGCTGTTCAAATGACACCCTCACTATAGATCTATGTATTTGGTTCTGATCCACTTCCAAGTCTATTCATGTGGCAAGTACTTACAAACAAAAACATCCCGATATGGCTAACACTACCAACACAGGGAAACGCATATGAGGAATGGGTTGACTGTATTCATTAAGGGACTTTAGGAATTGGGTAGAATCAGTTGCTAAGTTCATTATTAGCATTAGCTATTTGTTCTATACTGACTTTTTATTCATCGAGAGCTCAGTGAAAGCCAAGTAGCAAAAAAAGCTTGCAATGCTCTTAGTTTCATATGGTATTGCCTTCTCATAGCAAATGGCTTTCTCTAGAGATAACTCTATTGCTATTTTTGAACAGCACAATCATATTAAACATATTAAAGCTGCCATCTGGAGAATTTGAAATTTGTCAACTAGGTAAAATTGCAGATATATGTGTTTTTCTGAAAAGCTGATAAAGAGTCCAAACACATGCCTCATATATCATTATCAGAGAAGTGATGGCTAGGTAGCTCTCGGCTTGGGTCTTAATAAACACTTGTATATCTTTGTATGGATTTTTGTTCTGTGAATTCAAAACGAGGTAAAATGTCCCTCCAATGCTCCTGCCCTCTCCCCATGTGAAGCAGTGGATTAACAAGGTAATTACTGTCATCAGTGTTCCCTGTTTAGCAAACGCTGTCTATCTAACTGGGTTGGAGTTGGGGGGCTGCATACTATCTCAGGGAACAGCAGTGGATGCCATAGAGTCCTGCGCCTAGGGTCTTCCCTGTCTTCTTTCTCCCCTATGCTCTTTCC